CATCGAGGTGCTCGGGGCAGTTCTGGACGGGCGGAGGCTTCAGACGCAGCCGTCGCTGAAGAGGCTCTGGAGGGTGCGTCGGGCTATGGTGGGTCTGCTTCAGCTTCGGGCTGTTCGAGGCGATGATCTTCGCGTCCTGCTAAGACATCGCGCGTGTCTAGGCCTGGTCCGTCGCCCAGTGCTCGGTGCACTCCGCGCTTGCTATCGGTTTGCCACAAAAACGCATAGAGAGTCAGCGCCCCCCTGGAGGGCCTGTCGGGGCGAGTTGCTGGCCTTCCGAGGGCTGCGACCCACGAGGATCGCCAACTGGTGGCTGCCCTACAACCGGTGGGTACAGTGTTCAGATGCTTCGGAGATCGGGTGCGGGATGGCTGGAAGTTCTTGGGATCTCGACGTTCTCAACGCCGTGGGCCGCCGTCGAGAGAGGTGGCGGTTCAGGACTAAGGAGGGCGTCGAGGCCCGTCGTTCGGCCCTCGCCGCGGCGGGCCTCGGAGAGTTCGTGTCCGCGGGGGGGGGTTACACCGCGCTTTGCGCGGGCGAGGGCTAGAAGCTCTTGGCCGAATCCACGTTGCCCAGGGGGGGCTACGAGATGGATCCCAATACCCGCGAGGTGCCCAGCGAGCTCCTGTCTCGTCAGCCTTGGCGGAACGTAGGACAGGGAACTTGGAAGTATAGTGGGCACATCGGCATAGTAGAATCCAGGGCTCTCGTGCTGCCTCTGAAACGCATTGCTCTCACCCGTTTCGGCCCCAATGCCAGGCAGATCCCGCTAGTCGACAATCTCGGTGTTGCTCTGGCGCTTGATAGAAGATGTCGCAGTTTTGAAATTCTGCGACAGGTCTGTAAGATTACGGCCTGCCTCCTGAGTCGGAATTTTGAGGGCGATCGTCCGCTGGGCCCCTAGCGAGCTAGACAACAGCGAGTGATCACGGGCCGAAGGTTGGGGGCCTTCGAAGATTTTAACGCGTCTTATGCCTGATTCTCTGCCGGCCTATCCTCCTCTTGAGTCGAGGTTCCCAGTCGAGGACGAGTCCGGGCCACCGGCTTATTCAGATCCCCCATGCCTGTGCGCGCCAGTTGACCCCCTCGAGCTGTCGCATGCAGAACCAGAGTCGCATGTAAAGTCAATCGAGTCTAGTAACGCTGATAGTAGAAGCTCTGATCCTGAATTTCTATCGGCCTGCAGTGATTCCTTTCCCGTCCGCTCGCCCCGTAGACGTTCGGGCTCAAGCTGGATTGCTTGCTTTTGCCGTTCCCGAGCGAGCCGCCAGGCAAGTGGGGCCCGCGAGACTGCGAGACCCGCCGGGGCGCCTCGGCCGGGGGTGCTGACACGGGGGTTGGTGTCGGGACAGACCGGGGGGAGGCCTGCCATGCTCCTGACAAGCCTCGCTCGCGTTGCACCCGCAGCGGACTCCCAGACGCCGAGCCACGAGGCGGCCGCGGGGCTGCAGTCTGCCGCCGCCCGAAGGCGCGTCACTGGACAGCGGGCCCGGTCAGTCGAGCTGAGCTCGAGCGGCACTACCAGCGAGTCGGAGGTCGCATCGGCTGCCAAGCGGCAGCGGACGCTGTCCAGGCGAGCAAAGCGGCGACGTGCGGCCGTGGCTCGGGCGATCGAGGACGGGTTGCCGATCGACCGCTACCTGGAGTCCAGCTCTGCAGCGCCGCGAGCGCGGGCTCAGTACCAGCGAGTGATAGCAGCTGAGGGCGAGGCGTGGGCGCCAGGACTTTTTCGAGCTCCCGTCCGACACGATGGGTGCCTGCCTGGTCCATTATTGTAGTGGCCTTCGGCCAGCGCCGCCGATCCGGGTCGCTCAGTGTTATTCTCCAGACGCAGACATTATGGGCGCACACTCAAACGCACACACACACAGTCGCACCACCTAATCCGCACCGAAGACATGCACCCACACACACACCACCACCCACACACACATACCAGTTAGGAAACGCACGCGCGCGCACGCCGAGCGGATGCATATATTACGCGGACACCTCACGCACATCTCGCAACAGTGATTCTATCAACGGCGGGGTGCCTGCAGTGACCGCGGGGGCGGGAAATAATAATGACATGAAAATTCCATGCAGGACGCCGACCATTTTGGAAACTCATGATACGTCTTGCACGGAGTCTTGTTACGAAACATGTGGCCTGGACGATGTGGTGCGAGCGGTGGAGGCGAGCCTATCGGCGCAAGGACGCCCTCTTGGGGCGTTTTTTGAGACATCTTAGGAGCCTGTCAGAGCGTCGCGGGGGCTTCTTGGGGGCTTTGGGGGGCCCTCTTGGGGGCTCTTGGGGCCTCCTGGGGGCCTCGTGGGCTGGAAGGCTAATTTTTTTCCGCTTTTCGTTCCTGTTTTGGGTCCTCTTGGGGCCGTCTTGGGGGCCTCTTGGGCCGTCTTGGGCGGCTCTTGGGCCGCCTTGGGGCCCTCGTGGGCCGTCTTG